TGTTGCAGTAAAAATATCTTAAAGCACACTATTTCTCAAGGTGGCGATATTATGGACCCTGGTGATATTATGGACACAGATGTTGCATGTACAGACATTTTTGTTAGAATCCAATCGTTTTTTTTTTGTGGTAAGATCTTGATCAGTCCTATACATTTGCTTCACTTGTTCATTGATTAATTATTATTGTATTTAATTCTATATGTTAATTCGTGCTTTGCTTGTCTTATGTATTACGTATATTATTGTCTGGTGGCGACATGAATATAAGTGTACCTTGAGTGTGTCGCCACGACCTATTGTCCTGACTACTACAGGCAGACAGCTCAGGAACAGCAACACTTTGCCTAAAGCTACGCTTGAAAAAGTCGTTTTACATTGTGCAGTAAGACTTTACAATGACAGTGAGAATGGCTTAATGGCTGAAAACCCATGTCTGCTCTTTCCTGTTGTAGAGTGAATGGTGTTTGTACATACATGTATTTGCATAAAGTGTGTTTCTGTTTACTAGTCTTGTTTTTTTTTTAACCAATTGTTTATAAAAATCGATTACACAGTCCAGGGGTGCAACAGCATTCCCTGCATTTGTATGATTTTGTCTGACTGAATAAATTGAATATGTTTCAATAAAAAAAAGGGTGGGCACCGGAGGACTACCCAGACCCCATCAGGCTGCCGGACTTGTGTGGGAGGGTCAACTGGACAGCCAGCTTCGTTTGCGACCCGGATGGGATACTCACATCGTCAGAAGGTAGTGATTATTCAGAAACACAAAGATAAATACAAAATGAAAGGACACGGACTAAAGCCTCGGTCACAACCCGCCGTACGTGCTTTTTGTCCGCACGTTTTTTTTTTTTGAGGCCATGTCTGCTACGTTTTTCTGAAAACGTGGGGAAGGACTGAATTGACACCACGTACGGATCCCCAAAATTTGCCCACGTTTTTGCACGTATATTACCACGCAGTTACGCGTACGGCGGGTTGTGACCGAGGCTTAAGTGACTGCGACTGACAACTACACGCCGAGACCCCCCTGCCAATGTAGGGGGTCCACTAGTCGGGTGGCAAGATTGCCGTATTATTATGAAATAAAGACTAAGCTTTAACTTCCAACACTTAGATACAGAATTGGGACTTACCTTATTGGTAAGTCCCATCCTCTGTATCTAAGTGTTGGAGGTTAAAGCTTAGTCTTTATTTCATAATGATTTGTACCAACACAGATGAACATGCATTGCCGTATTATGTTTCAATAAAATATTTCGAGAGCTCATATTTCAACATTCAGCTGATCTTTTCAGCCCAATGACCTAGATATCCACTTTTGAATGTCGAAAGTTGTACTCAGCATAGAGTGCCTGCTCGAAACCAGTTTTTTTTTAAATGTTTGGTCAATGTTGCATCAGAGTGTTGCATCATAAGACGATATGTTTTCCGACACAACATTCGGAATCTGCAAACAGGATGTTAAGCATTCTGCCGAACTGCTATGCACAATACTGAGCATATTACGGGTTTCGGACTTGGTTGTGTAAAAGAGCCTCTTTACTCAGTGTCTTACCAACCTGATGAAAGAAAGTATTCACGGATTACGCCAAAAAACAGCTACTCAAGCAACTGGATATGATTTTGGAAATGGTCAGACGTTTCAGGTAGTATACACCACATCTCGTCAGTGATTCTAAGATACAAAAGGACAAAAGGAGAAATGCAGGTTTATAAGCACGAACTATTCATTGATATGCAAATAAGTGAAGACAATTTTTTTAAAGTCCAAAAAGGAACAAGAGTTTAATATATAGCTAATTAGACAAGTCAAGATAAGGATGATGATAATAGTGAAAGAAGCTCCTGTTGTTTCAGAGCTCGAGCATAAGCGTATCTTATTACCTAGGTGTCTAACCGTCGTCGAAGTATTCACGAATTAACACACGAATTTTCAGCTGACCTCCTGGATGTAGAGCTGATCACCACTGTAAGGGACACTCCCTGTCCCTGTGACTCCTGTCCTGGGAAGAACGACGGTTACAACATCGCAGTGGCACTCATGAAGAGGATGGCAACAACTGGCTCTGGAGCGTAAGTAAAAAAAGCAACTTAAAAAAACCCTTGTCCTGCGGGACCCATATATATATATATACATGGGTTGCACATACAGTACCATCTATATAGAACCCTGTATAATTATGTACAATTTGGGAGTATTTCTCGTGCAACGCATCACACCGCAGCGAAACTCAACAAATGCGGAAGTAACTACGCCACCGCAGGGCAAAAAAAGTCAAGGGTCTATGAGCTGTTTAAGACATCAAATTATTTGAAAATATTGTGTCAAAATTGCCAGCAGGACAAGGGTTAATACTACGTTAAAGTGGTGTATAACATATTTGGTACATAAAAGTATATTGTAAGATTGAACCAGTACTACTTACAAGATAATAAAAGAAGTTTATTGCAAACCTATGCCCGAAGGCTACTTGCAAGATACAAACATAAAAGAACTGTTAAGAACGTTGAAACAGAGTATAAAATAGTTTCAAAACGTACATAATGAAAGGTAAATGTCTGAAACTATTGCTTTGTCTAAACCTATGTCTGAAGGGTTTGACTTCTCTTTTGTAAACCATGGAAGATAATACATACGGTTAATTTAACAATAACAGTCAGTGGCTGCTAATGTGATGTTTATTTATTTGTTTGTTTGTTTTATGTGTTTCCTGTCATTGTTTACAGTTCGTCGCCACAAGTGAGGGCTCAGGGCTTCGCCATGTACCTGCGCGGGATCGCATGGGATTATGGGAGATGTGACGAGGGCGTGGTCATCCTGGTCTCTACGGAAGACAGACAGGTGAGGTGGACACGTGATCCGGTTGCCATGGTAACGTCCAATGGTTTCAGTCACAGATTTAAGTGTTCCAAAGTTCGGTGTTCATTTTCAAGAGATGGCAAAATTGGCAAGAATGCTGATTCTGAGACCTTTACTCGTACCTGTGGTCATCGTTAATGTTGACAACCGAATCTGTCCGGAATCGACACACACACACACACACACACACACACACACACACACACACACACACACACACACACACACACACACACACACACCGTGTTGCCACCCAAAACAATACTTCCGCAGAATACTAAACCCAGAAGCAATCAGAATACCTGCCTAAGTAGTGCCTAAATGCTTAGGCCAGAACTCATTTTTCCCACCAGGCAGCACGGTCCTTCCTTTAATAGCCTTTTGTTCAGCAAACTTGAGGGACCATCCAATATCATATTCTATTTGGTTCCATCATCTTGGGGGGGGGGGGCACAGGCTCCCTACGATCTAAAACTTCCTCGTCCTTTGACACCTAGGTCACGTGACCCCTCTAACGAGCGGAAGAAAGATGGTGGATGCCACCCGAAAGCTTCTAGCGACATAATAGACGTTAACAAGGAAAACAACAACAACAACAGCTTCTCTAGGTCTGAGCTGGAATTTCGTCGTGATTACTAGTTTAACTCCTTCTTTTAAAGTCGTTCTTCTTTTCCCCAGATCTACACAGCAACAGGTGCTACCGCCAGGGAAAAACTCACCGACGAAATCGTAGACAACATTTACGTGGAAACCCGTGAGTACTTCACGGCTGGGAGGTGGGCGGAAGGACTGAAGGAGATGGTCACAAGATACAAGAAGGTTCTGACTGGTGGCAGCTCTTCGGTAACAGCTGTAGTCATCGGTTGTATGTTCAGCGTTGTGGGACTCTGTGCGGTCTGTGTGACTTGTTTCATATGTCGTACCGGGTGTAAGTGTAGAGGAGGAGGCCAGTCCAGTTTTCATGACCACTATAACCGCACAAGCTCATGGGGTGGAGGTGGAGGCTGGGGCGATAGTGGTGGTAGTAGTGGTGGGGATGGGGGTGGTGGAGGAGGCTTCTAACATGCGTCTCGGCTGTGGAACCAGCTGCCTCAGCCTGTTAAACAGGCCCGTAGCGTTAGTGTATTTAAGAACATGTGTCAGGCCCACCTACTCACACATGTACAGCAGAAGCACCAGTCGACCCGGAGACATGGCCCCAGACACGAGAACATTCTGGTGGCTAGGAACCGCATGAACTGTACAAAGTAGTAAATGGACTGATAGATATTACTAATAGGTTGATATATTCTAATCTATGCTGATTCTTGATATTGTAATTTCGTTTATGCCCAAATGTGTGTCTTGTTCGTGTGCTCATACTTGTGTGTGGACCACAACACCAGCCCCCGCTGCCTGTGGCCCACGAGTATTGTATTGTTTGCAATTTCAATAAATCAAATCAAACATCACTGCCGTGTAAACTTAAAAACTAGGACTCAACGTTTGAAAAAGTCTTTTTTTTTACATTATGCTGTAAGATTATTCAATGACAGTGATAATGATTGATACTGATAACCCACGACTGTTCTGTTCAGTTTTAATGTGTATATTGAATTCACTATGTTTGCAATTGTATATTGAATTCACTATGTTTGTATATTGAATTCACTATGTTTGTATATTGAATTCACTATGTTTGTATGTTGATTTCACTATGTGAATGTATCTCCAATTGCTTTAAAAGAGAGAAGAAATCTTCAAGGCCTAGATTAGTTTATTCTCTAGTATAGTTGTTAAGACTTTTACGTTATTCTGTTATCCTTGTATTCTATGTATCATGTTACTCAGTATGATGTACATGTAACATCACATTCTGATGTATGCATTTACATGGGCATGAACATGAACATGCAAATAAAGATTAAATATATGTGTGTTTCTGTTTACTTGTCTTAATTTTCAATCAATCGTTTTACCATGTATAGTGAGCTTGCGATAGCAAAAGCAGTCTTTTTTTAGTCCTTTTTTTATTATTATAAGACAGTATGGACTGTACAGGAAGACAAGTTTTGAATTGAAGCCACATGTCAACAACTGTTGCTGTTTTCCCTGTGTATTAACACAATAGAAACATCATTCGGCTCCTCCCTGAGACGTAGCCAAAAAAAAACAAACCTATACCCTCATTCTGACCATGTTTAAACCGAGATACTTTGTCCAGTCCAGTGTGCCATGGGTCTGACACCCAGGCTAGTATAAAGTAATAAACCAAACAAAATCGTGAAACTGTCTGGGCGTCGTGGCTATTTTGGGATGGCCAGTTGTAGTTGATACGTCGGGTGTTCCCCAATCCAGACAAAAATAACAAAAATAGCAAAACTCCCTCAGCCAGTCATCAGTCATTGCTGACCGATCGACCTACATGTAACACACACTAGTACGCGCTAGCTTGGTAACCAGACCGCTCATCGCTATTTCTTCGGGGCTGGTAGCATCATCAGTATAAGTAATGGAAGTAACATGTATCTTGCTGCTGTTCCTGGCGTGTTGCTCTTCTGTGATCAGCGCTCAGAATACAGGATGGGCCCCGGAAGACTATCCCGACCCGATCAAGACGCCAAAGCTCTGCGGAAGGGTCAACAAGACGGCCTCCTTCGTCTGTGATCCGGATAGAATTCTCACCCGAGCAGACGGTTAGTGTCGATTGTAACTTCTCTATAGCCTTTGATAAACAAATCTAACTTCTCATCAAGCCTCATACATGTGTACAATTACTAAGAAGAGAGAGGAAGTTAAAAGGAATACATTAGACGTTTATATATACATGACATGACAGTTACATGTATGTGTATTTGTGTATGTAATAGATCAACATGTTTTGTTAATGATTGAAGATACAAAACCCTTATTAGATCTCAACTTGAAGCTATAATGAACAGAATAAGATCACGGTTCTGGACAGTACTACATACCTAATATACAAACATGGCATTGAAAACCCTTATGGAATCTCAACTTTCTACTATGATAAATTACTAAGAATAAAGACAGTTACNGAAGTAAGCAATGAGTGAATGAAGGAATCAATGAAGGAAGGAAGAAATGAATGAATGAATGAATGAAGTAAGCGATGGGTGAATGAAGGAATAAATAAAGGAAGAAATGTATGAATTGAGAAATGAACGAATGAAGGATAAATGAATGAAGGAATGATGAAAGGAAGGAATGTATGAAGGAATGAAGGATAAATGAATGAAGGAATGATGAAAAGAATGAATGAATGAATGAATGAATGAGTCCTTTCTTTAATCTCGATGGTAGTAGGGGTGGGGATGGTGGTGGCGAAGGAGGCTTCTAATGAAGGAAGGAAGGAATGGATGAACGAAGGAAGGAATGCTTCAATGAATTAATGAATTAATCAATTAAACTAACGCATGACGTAGTCACTTTCATTGCACGACCGTCCTACGATGATCGCAAGACAATTGTAGTATTCTTTGTTTAGTCGTGTGAACTCTGGTTGTCTCTGTTTATCAACAATGGGTGTTAAAGAACCTTGTATGTCGGCCGTTGAATTTGTTTCTTATTTACTTCATAGTTCACCACAAAACAAAGCTCATGGGAGCCACTCAAATGTTTTGGGTTGTACAGCCAATGAGGACAGGTGTTTGTTGTTCTTAGTCTTGAAAAGTTTAAGGTTATACCCGTATGGGTAGCTTGTTACATAGTTATGTTGATCTAGGAAAGAAGCTCTCAGAATCTTACGAAGAAGATTACATAATAAGACGAAGAAAACGGATTGTTTAATTTTATGTCTTTCATATGTTTGAGTAACTAGATCGTGAATTTTATTAAATCTGTATCATTATTTGACTTCCTACTAATGTGATTATGTAAATCACGCATTTATATATTAATAATTTGTAAGTATGTCATTTAAATGTATTTACTGTACTTTTTCTATGCCATGTAATGATGTCATTTTAAATTTAGGTGTTTGACTTTGAGCCTTGGAAGACTAGCCTAGGAGGGCTGAAAGGTTTCGAAATGAATGAATGAATGAATGAATGAACAAAATAAAATGAAGTGAAGTTAATCATTGTCCCAGACTCATCGCCTCAACTGCATTATATAGAGTCGTCGGTGAAGGTTAGACATCCAGGTAACAAGATACACCAATGCAAAAAGCAGTTACTCAAGCAACTGGATATTATTTTGGAAACGGTCAGACGTTTCAGGTAGCATCCACTAGCTTTCGTCAGTGACACTAAGAGACTGCAAGTCCTTGTCATGACTTGTCTAACTTTTGTTGCCTTTTGGACTTTCAAAAAAATTTCCTCTCACCAAGATCTCCCCTGGACATTATACCCAAGAGGGTCTTAATCCAGTATTAACAAGATTAAGATTAGGAGTCACTTCATACCACATTTCTGGAAGTGAAGTTCCTGTGAAGTGAAGTAGTGTACGTAAATATAAATAACAAAATGTAAAGGATCAATTTAAGTTACAAACATGATTATGAATTAAAAAAAGAAAGAAAAAAACAGCGTTCGCGCGCTGACTCGTACAGAGGACGGGTGTGCAGCGCGCTTTTTCTCCGGGATTTTTCAATCTTCAAGGCGGTTTTCTGACCAGTTCACCCAACAACGGTACGTAAATATTCTGTATACAAACACATCATCTATAAGTTTTTTTTCCTTAATTTTACTACCCTAGCTGGAATGAGAATCGTCGTTCAATCACGTTATTGTGAGAATGATCAGTGCTTTTTATGGGTTTCTGTCTGTAGCTGCAAGTTAATTCTCACAATTCAGCCGCGTACTTCAAAACTGCAACGTTTAAAAACGGTGTTAGCGAAGCTTTTCGAGAATATCTTGTACATCGGAATGACACACTCTTCAGGCAGCTGCATTTCCCCCTAGGCCTGTATCATTGGGACGACACACCTGCTGAACAGATGCGTTTCTCCTCATGTCAACGGAAATATACATCCTTAAAACTGTTCTACTTTCATGATAATATCCTTTAAACGGGTGCACTCCTCTAGTATGTCATTGTGATAACCAAATTTCCCGTTTCATCGGAATAATACAGCAACAAAAGCTAAACAAAAACAGTCGGTCCTCTTACACATACACATACACACTTACACATACACATACACCTACACGCACAGACACAATAACAACACGACACTATGTGTGGGGGGGGGGGTAGCCTCTACAAGGCTTCGGGAGGCGACTGGAAAGAATAGAAATCGGCCAAATAGAGAGATAGCAGGCCAAGGGAGTACAGCTTGTCGCGGGATTTTCTACTCTTTCCCTAAGCCGGTGCCTGGTAGAGGCTAGGGGGAGAGTGCTGCCGCAATTTTGCCGTCTCGTAAACGCTTGTCGCCTTTAAGAACGGTTTTCGCCTCTCGATGCTATGTCGCTGAATGCTCGATGCCATATTCCAGCGTATCATAACTTTTTTGAGGTTCAAAAACATACAAAACGTAAGACATACTATACAAAGCAACATTCTAATTGCAAAGGTATGGGACGATCATATAAAATAGTGAAAAAAGAAAAAAAAGCACAAGCTCGGACTCGAAAACGGGTAAAAAAAGCGTAGCTCTAAAACCCCAACCTATAC